TCGAACTCCGAGACGGTCTAGCGATCCGCAACCTGACTACTTCGGGCACCTGCTGGGGCATCCCATATCTGCTGACGATGACGAAATCGAGGAGGAAGAGACTCCAGATGTTTGCGTCGTTGACCAGGCAGAAGCTGAGCCCGTTGTCGACTGCACCCATGAGAAACTAGATGTCTCCGGAGAAGCTACTGATTCTCCCGCAGCTCTCGAGCGTGTGGAAACTCCCGAGGTCGAACACGAGGTTGCCGAGGTGTGCCCTGCGAGCCAGCCGGTCCCTTCTGAGTCAGAAAAGGAACTTGAGATCTCCGAGGAATCGACCGAGGATGATGATGTTGACTACTTTGGGCACATTATGGGACATCCTATGAATCACAGCGGTAGCCAGCGCAAGATCAAGTCTCCCAAAGCGGCGAAAGAAGCTCCCAAGGTGAAAGAGGCTGACTCGCAGGAGACTCAGGGGTCCGTCTTGGGCCTCTTCCTAGGTGGAGTAGAAGTCTGTGACCTAGATGAGAATATTGGGTAAGCTTTATAGTGCGATGTTTCGAAGGACAGCTTGTTTCTCTCAGGCAATTTTCTGCTCAAGAAAAGGAGGATCCAGCTGTTGCTGTGGAGGATATGGAGAATTGTGCCGAGACTCAGATTGATGAGCCCAATGTACCCGAATCCGAGACTGTGGAGAAGGCTCCCGAGGTTGTGGATGCCCCGAAGGTTGCAGTATTTGAGAACGTAGCTGAGCCTCAAGCGGCGCAAGATTGCTCTGTACCTGCTGCTCCGGAAGTTGTCGCACCCCCTAAGCAAGAGATTCATGCTCCTGTGTTCGCATCACGATCATCGCGAGGTCCTGAGATTGTGCAGGCTCGAGGTATCAGCGTCGAAGCTAAACAGTAAGTCACAGCGTCTTGGTATCAACTGATCATTTCCTCATCTCTTCGTTTTCAGGCCCATCAAAACTGTACGACCCGCGGTCGAGACAAGTACGACTAGAACTTCGACTAAGAAGAAAGGATTCTTTGCTGGTCTCTGCGGCAGCCGAAATCATGACTGAACCATAGGAGGCTCTTTGGATTTACAGAGACTGTGATCTCAGTATATCCGCTTCATGCATGCCAAACCGTGTATAGTACACTATAAATTAATCACGACGCTAGTAGATCGTTGCTATGTGGTCTTCACGATGATTCTTGTTGGAATCAGGATTGGTGGAGACCAACATTTTTTATTTCTTATTTATTTTCATCCGCTACTGAGTGTATGAGTATATTGACAGCTGTGTGAGGGACTTGAAATCAACCCAAGGGATTTGAGCTGGTCAATCATGGATGGAGTAGGTTGGTTGGGTAGACTTCCATAACAGTTCAACCTGCGTGAGTTGGAGATTGGATCTCCAATGTATCAAATCCGATATTGAATTTGTGTTTACCCCAAATCAAGTGTAAAATGTACTCGCTGTAATTCTGCCAGTTGGAGACCGAAGGGCTCACCAAACCCTGTATATGCCCGTCGAGTTGCCAGTTGTGCTATTCCCCCTGGACTCTCAGTGATCTTATTAGGGGCACGATTTGCGCATGTTTGTGATTTCGTCTGAGACCAATTGGCTATCTGCTGTTTGTAGATCAACATTCCATTCTTTTATAAGGATATTCTGCTTTATTGAGTCATTCATATCGAAAGGTTTTCCCGGGATTGTAACGGCCTGTGAGCGCCTCGAATTTCTGTTCGGTTGTCGCTCAGCCATCACAAGCTGTGGTTAATCTGAGTGTGTTGTGGGGCATGTTGTGACCGTTTCACACAGGCTCCGCTGCGTCCCGGCAGGCGCAGCGAAATGCGCCAGTATATGTCGTAATCAAGTCTCCTACTCATTTGATATCTCAGCTTTGATCCCACGTCTGCTTTAGCATAATGGCCACGAGTATTGAAGCTCCTCATCACATTGATGTCGATCATCAGGCTGGGTCTTACAATGAAGCTAACACGTTGAGCCCAATGGCGCAGTTTTCCGATGCTCCCGGAGTAAGTCAAACTCATCGAGGCCAAGCTGCACGCTACGAGTTAATCATTGATTCGTCCTCAGGCTCTATGGCAGTCGATGCCCATTGCTCCACCTCTCCCTTCTGCGGAGAGAATCGCGCCTCCCGATTTCGCTGAGAATTTCATCCAGAAATGTCTGCACCCGAGCAAAACATTCTTAGTGGCGGAAGGCTTTGAAGCCAAGGAGGAGGGGTGAGTCCCAACTCTGTGAACCCGTCGTTGTTACCTCGATCAATGCAATCAATTACGTAGTTTTTTGTTATAGGCCTAAGGAAGAAGAAGCACCCAAGACGGTCGAGCCAGAGATCAAGAAGCAAGTGATCAAGGTTCACGTCCCGAAGGCCCCTAAAGAACCTCAACCTGATTACTTTGGTCACCTACTTGGACACCCGTTGAGTGCCGAGGATGATGACGAGGACGACCACTCTGAGGCTGAAGAGCAGAAGGACGCAGATGTTGAAGGTGAAGCGAACGATACCAAGGCCGAAGCCAACGATACCAAGGCCGAGGCCAACGATGCTAATGCTGAGGCCAACGGTATCGATAAGGGGACTGTGAAAGATGTTGAGAAGACTATCAACGAGGTGCGTAAGGATGACTCTGAGAAGCCCAAGGACGAGGATGTCGTCGTGGCTAAGGTGGTTGAGGCTAAGAAGAAGCCGTCGATTGCTGCTAGTAGCCCTGTAAAGAAGGTCAAGAAAGTCGATATCTCTGCTAAGACTGAACCTACCAAAGAGGCTTCTGAACCTGAGGAATCTGAAGATGGTGATGATGATGTTGACTATTTCGGTCACATTATGGGTCATCCTATGAACCGAGGATCTGGTAGCCACAAGGCGAAGAAGCAAACTTCCCCGGCGAAGAAGGATGAATCACCTGTCAAGGTCGTTCCCAAGGCTGAGATTGAGTCCCAGGAATCACAGGGGTCCGTTCTCGGACTGTTCCTGGCGGGCATCGAGGTATGCGATAGAGAGGAGAACATCGGGTGAGTCAACCAAACTATAACTAGTGATGTACTCGTCTCTTATCAGGCAATTCACTTCACGTGGTGGGGATGCTGTAGACACTACTGACATTGAAGCCGAGGTCGTTGAAGAAATTGAAGCTGAGGATGATGATGAGTCCAACGAGCCTGCCGTACTTGCTCAGGAAGAGAGTGAAACCCCTGCTGTCACTCCTGCTAATGCTCCCGACACTCCGGCTGCTGAGGAGGCTCAAGAGTCTGAGGCCGTCCCAGTAGCTGAGAAAGTTACGGTTCGGGCTGAGCTGCCAATAGATAGCAGACAGTAAGAAGCTCGTGCCCTTGTACTGGTGGTGTAATTTTCCATTTTTAGCACTCCTGAGAAGAGAAGTAATGAGGCGGGCGGTGCTGGCAGCACGAATGAATCAGGAAAGAAGAGTCGATCATTCCTTGCGAGTTTGTGCGGCGGGAAGAGCAATGACTAATTTGCTACGTCTTTACCGTCCATAGAAATGCTCCATGAGGAAATTTTTCCTAGGGTTATGCACGTCTATCGCAGTACATTATTTATCAATTAATCTCTGTGCTTAGTGATTGTGTAGAGTGAACGAAGAACATTCGGTGTTGTGTTGATGAGTATTCCAAACTGAGGTGAATTACTTGGAAGTTGGGGTAGGATAGAGTTGTTATCAATAGTTCGTCAGAGAGGGAAATAAGTCGTCTTGCTGGTTTCTTTGTTTCGTCGCTTGAAGAATGTTGAACAAAGTAATGTTGGATATAAGCATGTTGGATTGAATTACACTCGAGTTCGGATCACCTCAGCCAATGACATTGCTGAGAGACTTCCTCTGAGAGGAAAGCGTAGCGATGGATTTTGAAGCATTAGCTGCAATTCTTCAACGAGTTGTCATTATCGAGGTGAAAGTCGTCATGTATTTCGATTGAGGGTTATGGCTGTTTGTCATCAAGGTGCAACATACTATCTGACCATCCGGCAACCTATTTCTATGAATTCTGCATTCGAGCTCGAGTAGACAGTGCTACAGCGCAACTGGATCAACTGCTCCCATACACAATCTATTCTCGGGGAGCAACAAACTCCGAACGCAACGGGGCGACATAGACAGAAATTAACCCAAATTTCGCAATGGTATAGCTTGAGAAGATAACATGATCCTTGGACATATGGGACACTTGATATTTATATCTCGTCCATTATTTGTTCCTTTCCGGCGGTGCGCAGTGATGACTATCTGTCGAAATGCTGAATTGCTCACAACGTGACCGCAGACCTGAAACATCATCTACTTGAGACTAATCATCGAAGTACTCTCACGAGAATTATCGGGAAGTCGGGTCTATCCCAATCGTCGGCTGTGGTTGTCATCTTACGAGACACTGGGCAAGTGAACACCGAATGAGGTGTGAACCGCTCTGGCAAGTCGAACTCGACTGGTAACGATTCACAAGGCACCTAGCATGCGCATCCATGAAGCACGCCGCAACTTGCTCTTCTCACTCCAAGCATTTCATGACGCTGTACAACAGACTGGACCTCCAGGAGCTGGCGAACGGCGACTCTGCCGCTAGCCAACAGCTGCCACAAAAAAGACATAGCCGAAGCCCTGATCATACATCTAAACTCACCAAGTACAGCGGAGATTCTTTCGGTACTCCCGGAACGTCACCCTCAGATGGTTGCGAGAGAACGCGACTCGAACGTATAAACCTGTGATGATGACTCAAGCGCATCTCTATATTGCCTCGCCCAGACGATGAAGGGGGCCAGGAACCAGTTGTTCACCTGTCATCAGGCTCAGTTGGTGTCTCGTCCAGCGGTGGTGTTGATGGTGGGTCAGGCGTCCCAACAACGCGACGAGCATTTTCCTAAAAGCGCCAAAGGTAATGTATCTCAGCTCCTCATCACGGTACTGCGAGAATGCGCATGACGAAGTTCGCGTCATGCAGCTGAATAGCCGTAGGTCTCGGAGCTCTTGGCGAGATGTACTCGGCAGAAGAACGAGGCTGAAAACTCAAAATCCTTTCTAATAAAGCATTGGAAACCCCACCTGGCGACTCCAGTCTCGAGTTGTCCTAGGTGATTCAGGACTTCGCCGTATTATACGAATAGGTGCCCGGTCACGATCTCTCCGTTGGAGGCGGATTCTGCTGCAGCCCATTCCCTCAGTTCTGCCTACAGTAGAAGCAAAACTCACCGTTGCGATGGGAATGAGAAGAACTCCCCTCCTGGTTGGAAACGACTGTCGACCGCGGTGACCGCAGGAACCTATCACAGATGCCGGCTCGAGTCATGCTTATCCAATCCTATTGCTACAGTGGACGCCACAATAGGATCGTCGTCCCAACAGTGCAGCGAAACTGGATCGTGCCTGACTAGGAGCTCCCGGAACACTCAGAAAAAAGGGATGAAGCTCGAGTAGCTTACGAGCTGGCCTTGGTCGTAGTGATAGTCTCCTCGACGTCTCCAGGCGGGATGACACTCGGTGCAATACATGCAGAGTAGTTGCCAGTTCGAGCATACCTACCGAACACTGCAGTGCTGCATTCTCGGGCATCTCTCTTACCCCTCGCGTGGTTCAGGGGTCCATAATCGATACCGCTTTGGAGGAGGGCATTCAGAAGGTTGCGCTGGTTCATCGACGGGATCTTCTACAGTCGGGGCGGGCTCCTCCTTGGGCGGGGAGTACACATGGCCCTTGAGCCACCACGTTAATTTCATAACAGTAGTGCAGCTCTTTCACCTACCGGCCAAGTTCCACGATAGTATAGAGTCCAGAATCTATCCAAAGCGTCGCTGTCAAGTCCATCAGCTTCAGCTGAAGCAACAACAATCGAAGGTTAAATAACAGATATCTCATGTTGATTTACCTAAGTGACCATCTCGTTTCGTTGCCGGGAGGGCGAGAACCAGAAGGCAACTCTGAAGCCTTTTCTGCTGTTCCTCATCGCCAACCGTAGAGGCCCCACCTCCGAAATTATCGCGGATGTACCTTAGTTGTAAGTGAACACCACCAATCTGTTGATCATCCACCCACTCCAGTATAGCAGCCGGGTCTAGACAGCTCCCTATCATGTTGCATACCTGAAGCCGAGCTCGATACAGTTCAAGCAGTCTCCTTAGGATGGTCACCTTCTGCAGGAGGAGGTCTCTCCGAGTGTTCTCAACTATCTCCTTCCTGAGAGCTGTTGCTCTCCCAGTTGCCTGCTTGTCGCCTTTGAACCACTCTATAGCCTCCTCCAGCTCCCCGTTAGACTTCATGCGCTCAGCTTCCCTGTATATACGAGAGTAACTATTCAGATAAGGGCAATCGAGCACCGTAGTGGGACCAAGAGTTCTCACTGTTCAGGAACCAAGTCCGTGATCCCATCGAGATGCTCAACCTCCTTGACGAAACTTTCAAAGGCTTCGAATTTTCCCGTTTGCAAGAGATGCACCTGTTATCATGGTGACACGTATTTTAAGTTGCCATCAAGATTCACTCACAGCCACAATTTTCCGCATATACCGTGAGAAATCAGCCTGTTGTTCCACCGTCTCCGCTGACTTCGGCATCACATGCTGTCGTATCGCCTTAGTGACATCTTCCTCAGCAATGCTCTGGAACCTACCAAGGCCAGCACTATGTAGCTCATAGAAAGATAGGCACCACTTACTCCGAGAGGGATCGAGACAACTGTGAAAGTCTGGCGTGATAACTCTGATGCCGCTTCGCAAGCACTGATGCGGAGCTCGACTCCTTCGCTTTAGCAGCCAGGGAGGCAAGCTCCTCAGCTGTCCCCTGAGGCAGACTAGTGCGACACTTGTGATGATAGTATCAACGTACTCCGTTACGAACAGACAACAAGGCTTCCCGGAGTCGGCCGATCTGCTGTTCGGCCTCGTTGAAGGCTCTGGTCTGCTCGTTGCCCACAGCTTCCACGTCCTTCATGATGCTCGCCATAGTGGGAGGTGGCCTCTCGGACGGCGTCGAGGCCATGAGAACGTCACAAAAAATTTCAACTGAAACCTCGGAAATATCTCAGTGTAATGTTATACGATATTATTGTTCCGAGTCGGAATATTATTAATAACTACTCAGTGATTATTATAGAGCACTCTTGTGAATCTGCTTAGCCATCCTAATTGTGAGTTCGTCGAAGCCCCCTTATGAATTTGTAAGAGAACTTTCCTCTTTCCCAAGCGAGATAACGACTATGCAGAGGAAATTCGCTGGTTATTCGTTATACGACAGCGTTCCTCGATCTACTGAGGAATCCTCAGTAGATATTTATGATCCTCAGTGAGGATCATAAATCTACCTTACCACCCTTCGAGAAACTTCCAAAATATCATCATCGTGGGAATAGGCAAGTTCAGTGTCATTATAATATTATTCCCCCAGAATACTCCACAACGCAACACGCGGAATCTCAGAAGCAGTCGCTATGGTTGAAAACATCGTGCAGTAATGTTAGAATTGTAATAATGTAACGTTCTAAGCAATAATGAGTTCCCTCATATCGGCCCAGTTGTGACCATACTTCATGCTCACCTCCAGTGGAACACTGAAGGGGTCGTCCTCATCGTGACCCGGGAGTGCAGGATTCCGCATCTCCCGCAGCAGCAATCGGCCCAACCTCTCCACATCCTCCTGGTGACAACTCAGGACGAACTCATCATGAATCGACAGAAGCAGTTGTGGACGACCACGTTTCCACTGAGCCTCGTCCAGGGCGTGCGCTATCTGCACCATGGCCGACTTCATGATGTCCGCGGCGCTGCCTTGAATGATACTATTGATGCAGAACCGCTTAGCCTCACTAGTGAGCTCTCCTCCGTCCAGTTCGATTTTCCTCCGTCGCTTGCATATGGTCTCGACGTACTTCTTCCCTTTCGCTGCATGCCAAACTCTCACCATCCATCTCTCCAATTCGGGGAAGGCGTAGTTAAACTGTCGCTTGAACCCTTGAGCCACAGTCGTGGTGACTCCCATCTGTCTAGCCAGCAAGTGGATACCCGAGCCATAGACCAACGCCAAGCAGCAGACCTTGGCCTTGTTCCGCTCTTCCTTGGTCACGTCATTAGCTGCTTTCCGCAGTATCATAGCAGCCATATTGGTGTAAATGTCAGCACCATCCACCGAAAAACTCCGTCGCAGCGCCCCTGGGCCCACGAAGTGAGCCAAGACCCTAATCTCGACCTGGCGGTAGTCAACACTGACCAGACAATGGGAGTCCAAGATGGGAGAGATGAAAGCCTTCCGCAGACTGATGACACCGAGGTCCTCGAATTCGTGCGAGCGTGGTATGTTTTGAAGATTCGGATTGCTGCTGGATAGACGACCAGTGACCGTCATGGTCTGATTCCAAACAGTGTATAGGCGGTTTTTGCCCAGAAAATTGCAGCTTTCGGACACTCCATTCTGTGGTCGGAAGTATTCCAGCAGTCCAGGCTTGGGTGAGCTCTCGGGCAGCGACCTTATAGTGTCCACATAAGTCGTGATGAGCTTAGCGACCTGTCTGTGCTTGCGTATGATCGACACTACTGGGTGCTGGTCGACCATCATGCTCAACACCTAATACCACAACTCGTCGAACTCTTTTGAAATTAATGCTCACCTCGTCCCCCGTACTACGGCTTCTACGACCAGCTGGAGGCTGTAGCCCTAGGTCATCGTACAGCAAGGCAGCTACCTGCCACCATAGTGTAACGGAGGGCGGACCAATACACGGCGGCAAACCTGGGCAGGCGATGTCATGAGGACCTCCTTCTTCACCAGAGCTTGGGCCTCCCGCTCCAGCTTTGCCACGGTCACTGATTATACACATATCCCGTTAGATATCGACCGAAACGATTATACACGATGCGAAGACATACGCGAATTGTTACCTTCCAGGTCAGAGCGCCACCGTTGCATGATCGAATGGTCGAACGGAGCTCCAGTGACTGACATCAGAGTCAACAGCCGAGCCACCGGCAGCTCTTGGAACAACGCTACAGCCGTCTGACCGTGGCTCTCCACCTAATGCACGGCCCGGAATCAATAGGATAGGCCCTCGGTTGATGTACTACCCTGCTGGACAAGGCAACTGCGAGATCACTAGACTCGGGCAAGTCATGGTCGACCAGCATTCTCCAAGGATGAGACCTGACTTGGTCACTGACCTCTAGCCGACCGGGATCCCCCTCACTCCTGCAGTGACGTCGCCTCTCTGGGTCGTTTATGGCTCATGTCGTTCCCATAGATCGACTTGAGATAGTCGATATCATAGCATGCACTACCAGCGGCAGAGTCCAGGATCCACGCTAATACAGCCAAGTCGCCCGCGTCGACGTAGAGCATCTCACTCGGTCTGTTACGGCGGCTACGATGATCACACCGAACAGGGGAAATGGCTCTTACCGATCTATGGCGAAGTACCGCAGAGCTTCCTGTAAATTGAAGGCGAACGCTGGCGTCTGTAGATTACCGCGGCGGGACGATATGATGTTAGTTAGAAAATCCATAGTGCGCTGACCGTAGGGAAGAACATACGTCTGAGAAGCCAACAACGACTGGCTTCAACAGACCAGGGGCCTTCAAGGGCTACTTTCCTTTCTAATACTTCTACGACCCCGCGTTGGTGTAGGATGGCGAAAGCCAGCGGCCTCGGGAAACGATCCTCAAACGTAGCCGAAACAGCATACCTGTAAATCGGTAATGCCGATTTCACTGATGACTAAGTGCAGTAATTCTCACGAATAGCATCCAGGAAAAATGGAGTATCCAAATTTCATGTAGTTGATGATATATACAATGAATTTCATCACACTGCGGGAGGCGGAAAATTGAATTTTCCGAAACTTCATGTCACGACTTTTCAAAATTCGTGTTGGTTTGTTGATTCAAATAATCAAAGGAGCTTCACTAGCCAGTCTCCGAGTCTACATAGTTACAGCTGAGTTCTCGACTACTATGCCACGCAAGGGGAAACACGAGGAATTTCACCTGTGGAGTTCAGCGTGTCGGGGGATACGGAAGTTAGTCGTGTTATCGCTGTTGAAGACCCCCAGGGATATGAGACTATCTCGAGTACTGCTGACGGTAGACAACAGCTCCGCCATTATTAATTCATTTTCGGTGTCGACCCAAGTGGCCCCAGTAGGTTCGAGTAGATTCCTCAGAGCTGTCAGTGTTGGAGGTAGAGGAAGTGGACCGGTCTGGAAAAAGATTCTGAATGATCGTCGCGGAAATGCCATACATTCTGTCGTTTGTGGACTCTCGGTTGCTTGCCTGCTGCTACTCCCTGACCGTTCCTCTCTACCAGTGAGGACTCCTCGATTGAGCCCGCAGGACCCACGTCGCCTACAGACTGAATTTCCAACGAAAGGCAACTGTCACAAGCTTACTCAGCTCTAGTGGGCCTACCACCTGGACCGCTGGTGGACCCTCCTCGACCAGCTGAGCATCCCCAACGGCAGTGCAGAACTTGGCGCGATCCTGAGAGGCACTATTGACCCCAATGAGCCCTCTAGGATCGTTTACCCGCATAGCAAAGCCTTGCCAGCCGTGAGGTATGGTATTCTGACTAACCCCTAGGGAGCGGCTCCCCACCCCAGTTCTGGGCAGACTCCGGTGACACCGACAACCTTTGGCTAGCTCCTGCAGCTGTTGTAGCACTGAGTTGGACCTCTCTCCATAGGAGACGTGCGGTCGTCGTCGTATTTCTGTGTTCGATACTGTACTGTTATTAAAATGATGCATTAGGCCAGGACGAGGGGTGAGGCAGGCAAGCAGAGGACGACGGGCGAAGTGAGACAGACTACCGACTAGACAGGGGCGAGCTGCTGAGGGGAGGATGAATGTCAAGTCCGGATGGAAAAGTGAGGGCCGAAGGGCTCACCAAACCCTGTATACACATCGTCGAGTAAGCGAAGACTTTCACAGACCCCGACCCTCCGTTCTCGCACCGAATGAGAATGGTACGGTAGGGTGCTGCAATAACTCTCAGAAACGACTAAGGGCAATGTATCACGAGACGAGCCGGGATAAGAACCGTCTCACGCTGAGAGCATTCAAATCTACATACCGAGAATCTATCCCAGCCCGCTCAAAATGAACCTAGAGTGAATCCAGCCAGAGGTGAGAGTCGCTGAGCCTCAACATTGAAGAACCCAACGCATATGATTCTAGTAAGGAAGAAACTGTTAGAGCACCATTGCAGTGCCGTTCTGAACTGTTATCTGATTTTACCTGAATTGGTTGGCACTCCATAAAGCCCCTTGTGACCAAAACTCGGATATCCATTATCATGCTATCTGTTTCCGCCAACCTATGCCTTCAACTCGAGTTGTTCAGTGGGTCAGCGAACATTTGTCAAATATCGAGCTCCAGCACGAGAGGAACAACAGTGAGGTGTCGAATAGTCTACCCGAATCAGGTCCCTGATATAGCGATAGACTATTTGGTACCCTCCCAGGCTGGGAGGTACAAAGTACCAGATCACCTCAAGGCCTTGCTCTCAATCGCCCACTGGCCACCCCGGCCAACTTTGGCTTACATCATTTTCCAGGGCGATTTGCACAGTCTTCAATCTGTTCGCTGGAATCTACCACTCAGCTCCTGTGCAGACCAATACCAGCAGAAGAAGCAGATGCCCTTCGAGCTCAGTCGGTGCCTTTGTTGGCTCTACACCGTATAGAGGAGTTGCCGCAAGGAGTGAGACGGCTGCCTTGAAGTTGATGTCATCCGCGAATATTTTTTTATCAAACCGCTTCGCATGGACACTCCATACCGGACTGTCGTCACCTACTACGAGTCACCGCGAGTCAACAACACAACACCCGACTTCTCATGTGAGTAAATTGACGATATTCACAATTTCCCAGTTGCGTAAGATATCATCAATTCGATATAGTTTCTTCGTATTCTCCGCACATTTGATAATCATACCATCTACCTGATGACCCATCAATGCGCCGTACCCTCAGAGTCCCCTAAGCTGCGTAACTTCTGAGATCACAAACCAGGATAGGTCCAGTACGGGCACGCGAAGAAGCTTTACAACGACTCACGGAAGGCTTACCCTCAGCCCGCCACAGCGTACTCCTCTCCGCTAGAGAAGAGCGCTCAATTTAGTGAATGCCAAGCCATTCACAGTTGCAATCCAATCATAACCACTGGCTGGGGGGAAGTCGAGAAGAGAGCAGAACTTTCAAATCCGGTCTTGAAGGTCTCGGTTACTTACAAATGATACGACGCGTGCATAGCCAAAGTAAGCGTCACAATAACTCCCTCAATGAGTTCCGTCC